CATATGGGCCAACGTCACGATTGCCGATAACGTGGGCGTATATATCAACGCGCTCTTCCAACCGTGCCCGACGTGGATCCCCAACACGGCCAACCCGCTGTATAATGCGTTCTGATACTCGTTGTTGCCCATATCATGGTCTAATAATGAAATGAAAAATGCTAATACGCAACGCTCCAACTGTTGCGTATCGTCGCTGTCTTCGTCTTCTTCTTCGTCGCCGTCGCCGTTGCTGTCTTCCTCTAACCGCATATGCGCCATTGTCGCTATATACGCGGCTTCTTGCAATTGCGTGAACTTGTCTGCTTGGCGTTGCGTTAAATGGTATGCCGGTCGTTTGTTGCGGATTCCCCCTTCTTGGCTGGCGTCTGTGGAACCTGTATTATCATTTTGTTCCCGCGCGTCTATCGCTTCGCCCTCCTCTCCCTCGGCCTCTCCCTCCTCTCCCTCCTCTCCCTCGTCTCCCTCGTCTCCCTCGTCTCCCTCGTCTCCCTCGTCTCCCTCGTCTCCCTCCTCTCCCTCCTCCCCCTCCTCCCCCTCCTCTCCCTCCTCTCCCTCGGCCTCTCCTTCCTCGGCCACTGCTAAATGCTGCGTCCGCCACACGTACGCCATTATCGATTTCCACGACTCGCTATACCGCTCCATCGTTTGGCCTTTCTGGCCCGAATTGAACGGCTTCTCGTTCGACTGCCCTCCGGCTTCCCGCCTCTCGATGTAATTCACTGCGGCCGACCCGACCACCTCGGCCCGCGATGCTTTTTGTGCCCGCCAAATTACCCTCTCGATGGCCAATAATACCCTGGCCAACGCTTTTTCTCGGGTTGCTTCGTCCCTACCTGCTTCTCCCTGGGTTTCCCCCTCCCCGCCTGCTCCGTCGCCTGCTTCGTCGCCTGCTTCGTCGCCTACTTCATCGCCTGCTTCGTCCCCGCCCCCCTCTACACCCCCCCTTTTATCGTCGTCTGCGTTTTGTCCACCGTCTGGGTCTGGCCGCCGCGTCGTTCCCGCTAACCACTCGCGATCGAACCCTCGTAAATGCCGGGGCCAACCCGTCCGCTGGATCCACATATTGGCTGACAACCTGGGCTGGTCGTGGATCAATGCCGCCGCTTTCTTGTCCCCTTCCTCTATTGCCTTGGCCAACTCTTCGAATTGCGTCATAATTACCTTATGCTCCGCGGTGCCGACTGGGCTGCTTCCCCTGCCGACCCCGCTCTCCGTATCGGCGGCCGCCGGCACAACCTCAAACAACCGCTGCAATGCCCCTGTTTGCCCGAACCGCTGGCAATACACGCCGTCTACCCATACCTCGCCCATGCCGCCTGCTGCTCTCGCCCTGGCTTTCCCGCCCTGCGCCCGCGGGTTGACCCATCCATGCTCGTCTCGGCAATGCTTTTGAATATCTTGCTTGGTTCGCCGGATGTGTCCGCACCGCGTGCACTTCTTGCCATCGCTCCAAACGGGCAACGACCGAATCGCTGGCACAACTCCGGCCGGGAACTGGATCCCATGGACGTCGGCCGCCAACGTGCCACCCTTCTCTAACTCGCCCGCCTCCTCAACGATGCGTTGGCGCACTTTCTTGGCTATATGGCGGTGTTGCGAATGGACGTGATACGCGATCGATCCTGCCGTTACCGCACTACGATGTTCGCGGCAAATCGCCAAACGGTAATCGGGGGAATGTATAAACAAATTATTAAACAACTCCATAATTCCGTTTAAATGCCGAATAACCTGAATTGGTGGGTACGTGGTCGGTTGGTTGGTATTGAATTGATTTTCTATTTTCCTTTTACCTTCCTTTCTTGAAATCTCACCTTTTATTTCGCCGGGGGGTGGTTGGTTTTTTTGGGGGGTTTTTTTCCCTTCATTTCCCCTTTCTTTGCTTTTTTTCCCGCTTCCCTGTATGTTTTCAAATGGTCAACTACTTGGCTCGTGCATTACTGTCGCTGAACCTACTCGTACATAACCAACCATATGTCTACGGGGCCAATGAACCATGTGTTTAACATCGCGGCCTTGGGTTCGACCGGTCTACCTACGCGCAGCGGGTTTTAACCATTATCTCCCTTCCTGACAACTCAAACTAATTGACAGCCGGATGCTCGAGCAGTTGGGCTTGACTTGGTCCATGCACCTCAAATCAGCCGACCAATCAGCGGTGGCCTATCAAGCAGTTCGACTCGAACTGGTTGGGGCACCGAGTTCGACTCGGATCGACTTCTTATCGGCCGCTTGGCCTGTGCGTCACCGTCGCCAAAAACACACCTTCTGACCTTGAATCGTCGATGTACGACCAACCGTACGTCTACGGGGCAAATGGACGGCGGATTCGATATTGCCGCACTCGATTTGGTCAATCTACGTGCGCGTAGCCACTTTTACCTATCGTTTTCCCTATCAAAAAGTCGAACTGATTGACGCGCTCAATCCTCACCCAATTCGACCAATCAGCGGTGGCCCATGAAGCAGTTCGACTCGAACTGCTTGGGGCACCGAGTCCGACTCGGGTCAGCTTCTTGTCGGCCGCTTGGCCCGTGCATCACCATCACCAAAAAACACCTTCTGACCTTTAAATCGTCGATGCACAACCAACCGTACGTCTACGGAGCAAATGGACGGTGGATTCGATATTGCCGCACTCGATTTAGTCAATCTACATGCACGCTGCCACTTTTGCCCATCGTTTTCCCTTTCAAAAAGTCGAACTGATTGACGGGCTCAATCCTCCACCAGTTTGACCAATCAGCGGCGGCCCATGAAGCAGACTCGAACTGCTTGGGGCACCAAGTTCGACTCGGATCGACTTCTTGTCGGCCGCTTGGCCCGTGAGTCGGCCGCTTGGCCCGTGCGTCACCGTCGCCCAAAAACACACCTTCTGACCTAAATCGTCAATGCACGACCAACCATACATCTACGGGGCAAATGGACGGCGGATTCGAGATCGGCATACTTGGTTTAGTCATTCTACGTGCGTGCAGCGGATTTTGCCCGTCGTTTTCCCGGTGAAAAAGTCGAACTGGTTGACAGCAAATCTTGAACCAGTTCGACTCAAATTCGTCCGTGCACGGGTTTGGGGCGACCAATCAGCGGGCGCGCATCAAGCAGTTCGACTCGAACTGGGTGTGGCATAACAGCCAGGAAACCACCCTCGTAACCACCATGGCCACCGCCACCAGGAAACCACCCTCGTAACCACCATGGCCACCGCCACCAGAGAGAGAAGGTAGGTACGCCTGATCAAGGTGGTCACAATGCAGAGAGAGAGAGACGGACAGACCCCACCCCGTGTGGGTGCGGCCAACCAGAAAGGACTGTTGCCAACAATATACCGTATTGATTTAGAACGCAGAGAAGGCAGGTACGCCTGATCAAGGTGGTCACAATAGGCAAATACAAGAAGGCATAACAGCCAGCCAGAGAGAGATAGGAAAGATAACTATTACTTATAGTGGGCGAGGCTCGCAGGAGGCTGCACGGAGCCTCCTGCTATTGGCTGGCGCAAGAAGTGAGAGAGAGAGGCAAGCCACCATGGCCACCGCCACCAGAAGGCAGAGTGAATTGCTTCTTTTCTTCCGTTCCAGTCTTTCCGCAAAAGACTCTCTCGTATACTTCCTTATGTGGCAATTACATGACGAATTCCAGTGGCGAAGATTACGCATCGTAGGTTCCAGCACCTTCTAGGCCATTCCATCTGACACAAACTCGCCTCCGTCGCATAATATGTGACATCAAAAGAATTGAACCTGTTGATCTTGCCTTCTTAAAGAAAACTACGTGAGTTATCTCGATATTAATGGAAAACGATAGAATTTCTATAGTTTCTATAAAGCAACCCATCCTCCCGGACCCTTCTGGTGTCAAGCTAGGAAAAAGAAATAAAGAGGATGAAGTAGAGATAGCTAAAAGGTACTGTACTAAACATCTTGCGAAAAGCCAATTGTAAAGACTTGTCCAGATGAACAGCCGATAGACATCATCCGCCCGTGGACGGCAGAACAAACCGGGCGGTATTCTGGTGATAGCCATATTACATTCCGGCCATTACAATTAATCCAAGTTTGGTCGTGCCCCCAACTATATCTATTACTCGCTAGATTATCTTCCGAGAGAGCGAATGACTGAAGTAAGTCGCTGTGGCTTTCTAGCGTTCGCAGGCATTGCCCTGAGGCGGGATCCCAGATCTTGAAGGTTTGGTCGTATGAACCCGATGCGAGCTGCTGGCCATCTGGTGAGAAGGCAACTGACCGAACCCAGTGGCTGTGGCCTTCTAGCGTTTGCAGGCATTGCCCTGAGGCGGGATCCCAGATCTTGATGGTATTGTCGGCTGAACCCGATGCGAGCTGCTGGCCATCTGGTGAGAAGGCAACTGACCGAACCCAGTGGCTGTGGCCTTCTAGCGTTTGCAGGCATTGCTCTGAGGCCGGATCCCAGATCTTGATGGTATTGTCGCCTGAACCCGATGCGAGCTGCTGGCCATCTGGTGAGAAGGCAACTGAATCAACCCAGTGGCTGTGGCCTTCTAGCGTTTGCAGGCATTGCCCTGAGGCCGGATCCCAGATCTTGATGGTATTGTCGTCTGAACCCGATGCGAGCTGCTGGCTATCTGGTGAGAAGGCAACTGAATAAACTGAGGATCTGTGACTTTCTAGCGTTTGCAGGCATTGCCCTGAGGCGGGATCCCAGATCTTGATGGTTTTGTCGTATGAACCCGATGCGAGCTGCTGGCTATCTGGTGAGAAGGCAACTGAATAAACTGAGGATCTGTGACCTTCTAGCGTTTGCAGGCATTGCCCTGAGGCGGGATCCCAGATCTTGATGGTTTTGTCGTATGAACCCGATGCGAGCTGCTGGCCATCTGGTGAGAAGGCAACTAAATTAACTGAGGATCTGTGGCCTTCTAGCGTTTGCAGGCATTGCACTGAGGCGGGATCCCAGATCTTGATGGTTTGGTCGTATGAACCCGATGCGAGCTGCTGGCTATCTGGTGAGAAGGCAACTAAATTAACTGAGGATCTGTGGCCTTCTAGCGTTTGCAGACATTGCCCTGAGGCGGGATCCCAGATCTTGATGGTATCGCCTGAACCCGATGCGAGCTGCTGGCCATCTGGTGAGAAGGCAACTGAATAAACTGAATGGCTGTGGCCTTCCAGCGTTTGCAGGCATTGCCCTGAGGCGGGATCCCAGATCTTGATGGTATTGTCGGCTGAACCCGATGCGAGCTGCTGGCCATCTGGTGAGAAGGCAACTGAATCAACTGAATGGCTGTGGCCTTCTAGCGTTTGCAGGCATTGCCATGAGGCGGGATCCAAGATCTTGATGGTATTGTCGTCTGAACCCGATGCGAGCTGCTGGCCATCTGGTGAGAAGGCAACTGAATTAACCTCGCCGCTGTGGCCTTCTAGCGTTTGCAGGCATTGCCCTGAGGCGGGATCCCAGATCTTGATGGTTTTGTCGCATGAACCCGATGCGAGCTGCTGGCCATCTGGTGAGAAGGCAACTGAACCAACTGAATGGCTGTGGCCTTCTAGCGTTTGCAGGCATTGCCCTGAGGCGGGATCCCAGATCTTGATGGTTTTGTCTGAACCCGATGCGAGCTGCTGGCCATCTGGTGAGAAGGCAACTGAATAAACTGAATGGCTGTGGCATTCTAGCGTTTGCAGGCATTGCCCTGAGGCGGGATCCCAGATCTTGATGGTATTGTCGTCTGAACCCGATGCGAGCTGCTGGCCATCTGGTGAGAAGGCAACTGAATTAACCTCGCCGCTGTGCCCTTCTAGCGTTTGCAGGCATGCATTCCAGTCCGCTTCTACTACTGGCTTCGTACTGATCCAGCTAGGTTCTTCCGCCTTAAATTCTTTTTTCACTAGACTGGAAGCTGGTGCAAATATGAGGGCTGATATGTACGCTTGGAGAGGAGCTTGCTCGATTATCCATCTGTTGGAGAGAGCGAACCGATGTGCATCTCGAACAAAAGCCGTTAGCTGCCTCTGATTAGTATGTTCCTACATCTCTATTAGTATAGCTCTCTGACGGTAGTAAGTTATACATACGAGTAGGAGCTTAAGCTGTCTTATAGCAATGACACCCTCCGACATAGCTTGGAGTAAGCTAAGAGCTTCGAGCCAGTAAAGGTACTTCTGCTCAAGGAAGGTCTGTACCGTATCCAGTGTGTTACATTGCAGCATGTCTTTGTCGGAAATCGAGTCGCGGAGATGGCTGACCCAGAAAACGCATGAGTACCGTAATGTGGCGAGTGGGTCTGAAGATGGCGTTTGAACCTCGTCGATGAATCCCGGTGTCTTCAAACCGTACATGTCGCGCTGCAAAACCGCAGACATTGCGCTGAGAGATCTTGAGAAGATGATATGGTTTACATCTTCCACCCCCAGAGGGAAGACCCAGTTGAAAGCATCTCCAGAAGCTTGGTGCGTAGCATCGCCAAGTAGAAAGTCCTTGGCGGATTGGTGGACGAAGTAAATAGTTTGTTCTCGTAAGATCAAGAACGAACCGCAGATTTTAATAATCTTTTCCAGACGATTTTGATGTGTTGAAATACTATCCGGCAGCTTGACGAGAGTGGTTAGCTCCTGGATGCTGATGGGCCGGTGAACGATTGCGACGGCGGCAAGAATGTGCTTGCAGATAAGTGCATTTCTGGATCCTTTAATTTGATGCACCATTCCTGCATATAGATCATCCCAGTTGGGAATGTGTGCAGCGTCTCGAGGGTGTCCCAATCCTGAACATCCGGGTCCTCGAGCGCCTGACAGACCAATGCCACCCAGAGAAACGTACCGTTCGCTTTGGAAGAAAGATAAGCTACCACAGTAGCCTTCGTTTCGATGTCGTATTTCTTCTGATGCGATAGGTGAAAGACTTTGTAATCGATATATGTGTTGACGGCAGCGGCGACGGATTTGGCATTCAGCTCGAGGCTCAGCCTAGCGTTCTGCGCCACCATCGCCAACTGTTCCTCAATCTGCAGCCAGTTGCGACTTGAGACAATCCACTTGACCCGAGAAGATGCACATGACATTTGGGTGACCAGGTCGAGAAGCCGCGGTAAGTCCGTCACGCATTCGTCAAGTGCATCGATGATTAAATAAGTCGTCTTCAACACCGGATCTTGCAGAATAGCAGTGAAGATCTCGTACAAGACAACCCACGTGTTCGTTCCCTCAAATGTGCTTCTCCCAGTGAGATCATACTGTTTCCGTACATGTGATATAAGTGCTGGTTGTTGGCTGATAAGGAGGTAGATTAACCCGCGTAGAACTGCGGTGGCGTTGTTGATGCGTGAGTCGGTAGCCTGGCAAAAGAAGAAGGATAGCAGGCAGGATGGGGCAGACATCTTCAACTCGTCTATGATGCCGCAGAGCAACATGGTCTTGCCCTTACCGGGATCGCCTTTGATCCAGAGGAGCCGGTTGTCTTCGTCGTCGCGCCATTGCTGGAATTGGGCGTTTCTGAGCACCCACCGGTACGAGTCTTTCAAGAGGCCGCCCTTTGCCGTTTCGATACGCTTCTTGTCGTGGCGTGGGTCGGTAATACACAGGTCGGCGAGACAGCGAACTTCGGCCTCATCGAAGGGTTGCTCACCCTTCGATGCTTTATTGATTTCCTCTCGTAGCCGTCTAAATGCCTTTTGTTTTCCCTCGCTGTAGATAAGCGGTAACTGGACGTCGAAGATGCCGAACAGCGAGTATGCCATGTCTTCCTCACGTGTTGTCGTACGTTTCTCGATCCATGCCATTCGGTCATCGATACTGAAATCAGATAGAAGACCACCTTGGAGGACCTTGAGAGGAATCCCCGTCACGTCGTGAATAACTTGCTCTAGAGCCGTCCTATCCCCAAGATGCACTTCCTCCCTAGAGAAGAATTCGACTGATGTTGGAGCAATGAGCTCTTGAAGAGTCCACCCGCGGGTGAACCACCTGCTTGCTCGGAAAGCCGGCTCCCAGATGGACTTGTCATTAACGTCGGGGGAAGTGATCGAGACATCCATAAGATAGGTGTAACATTTGGTTGCATTGCGGTACCAACGAAACATTGAGTTGATCGCCTCCTGAAGCTCGACGCTGTTTGACTTATCGATGCAGCATGTGTCGACCCAGAAGAATCTCAACCCATCGCGCCAGGCTTGATCTCCGCAAAATCGAATCTTGGCGTAGCCTGCTTTATTCTTGCCTGTAGCATCCATCAGGTCCCTAAAGAGGACCTCCCCGTCGCCCCATGTGTGTGAAAGTATCGCATACGGCGGAATCTTGTTTTTGGGGAGGTCCTCCGTCAAACGGACCTCGCCGGTATCGTCACGTTCCAGTAGTCGCATTGCATAAGACCGCTAGGGTAGCTATTCAAACGAATTTTCGGCAGTGGGAAATGGCGAGCAGGCGCCCGACCGGACGGCTAATGTGCGCGGGACTGTCGGTACAATTAATCAGCAGCTGAAACTGGCGCAGCTGCCAGATAGACGAGAAGTACCTACCGTAAGTAGCCGTCGGAATTCGTAGCGTGAATCTCAGTCGGTGATTAAGGGCGTCGAATGCGGTTGTCGTTGTCGTTGTCAACTGGCCATTGCCCAACCCCGCACGTTGGGCGTTTTGTCCGCATTGGCGTCTGTCCGCCACGCGCCAATCGCGCATAATTTGAAGCATCGCCATTGGCGGTATTTCCGCTGGTGTGAATCAGAATCAGGGCCGGGCAGCACCCTCCATGTGTCATTGCACTGTGAGAAATCACATAAACGTCGGTGCAGGCCCTATTACTTGGTGCTACTTCGTGGTACTTGCGTGTCAGCGTATAAAAGCAGGGAATGTCAGCCGCTATTGGCGTCATATTGTACTTTGATGTTCTCAAGTATTGCTGGTCCGTGCCCAAACATATCAGAAGAGTGCAGACCGGACGCCGGTTTCGCTCCTAGCTGTATAAAATTCTTTAATAACGAGTTGGTAATTAAAAATCTATTATATAACGGGTACTAGCTAATGAATTACTAAACAATAAAAATTAAAATATATGATTATTACTAACCACTCGACTGTCAGGGTCGTCTGTCTGTCTGTAAGAGAGCACAGGCTCTGCCAGGTTGGGTGGGTTTGTGATGCGGGAATAGTCTCAATCGCGCATGCCAATTGATGACATGCCCCGCACGCGCAGGTGGCACGTGCGTATCAGTAGATTACATAACACAGCCCCATGGATAGTGAGGGCAGTGTGCCACGGCAATATACGGGCATAACCCCGCGACCAGGCACACCTTCCATACTTCCAAAATGTAACCTTCTACACTGCGCCCTTTTTCCCTATCAAATGGTAGCAGCGACTGCACGCATCTAGTGACAGTCACCAGAGTACCGTGAGTACTAGAGTTCAATTCTCGATGTATTTTTTCTCATTCGCTTGGTCGCGATAATCCGTCAAGGAGACGCGCCAAAACCCTGCCTCACGGTAACCCGACCGGGGACGTGAAGTAGCCGACCTCCCCTCTACCCTCTTAGGCGACTGTTCGCAAGAGCACAGCCAACCGTCACTGCAAGCAATTGAATAATCCTCGGAGATCAGTTGTCCTGCGCCTGGCGGGTCAGTTCGCGGCATCGTCAAAGCACCGTGTCTAGGCACAATCCACTAGCGACGCGATCCATTTAAGGTCAATCGCCATGGCAGCCACACGCCCGACCGTGGGCGGCTACGAATCTGACCTGGGCGACGACTCTCAACAGTTCCTTGATCCCGACAACCCAGATAATGCCGATCCTAAAATGTCCGTCCTAGGTCGCTATACCAACCTCCAGCCCTCTGTCCAGCAGCAACTCCGTCAAATGGACCGCGCTAGAGGCCCTGGCACACCAGCCAAAAAGCTCCCACCTCGGGATTCCAGGACCCTATCGGGGCAAGCCACCGAGCTGCTCACCACCGAGAGACCTGTTGCACAGCGCCCTGCCGAGTTAAAGAATAACATTTCCTCCCTTACCTACCTCGAGAACCTCAACCAAGGCGTCCAGTGAGACATGGCCCAGCTTGGCTAGATAGTTGACGACAAGTTCGATCAAATGGCCGGTCAACTTCATGATGTCCTTGATCAGTCAACGCGGTTAGTTAATCGTCAAGGCCAGGAATTTAAGTCCGAAATGAACCAATAGCGCACTGAGTTCCGCCTGGCCAACGACAACCTGTCCAGGCAGATGGATCTCATTCTCAAGGCCATCAGGTCCCAAGACAATGACGACGCACATATCGACCCTACCCGACTGTTCAGCCTGCCGTCTCTCAGGCCCTCCCCGATCCTTTTGACACAGCTCGTGCGCGCAGTGTTCCCCCTCAGTCAAGCGCTCCTGTGGTGGATTCAAACGTCATAGGCATCTCAAGCGGGCAAGCCCAGCGCTTTTATACGACAGACCGCCTGAGTAACCCAACGTTCGCTATCCAGAACCCCACCCCCACCACGGTCAACGTGGTCAGCCTCGCATGAGCCGTCCCGCCCACACTGCACCAGCAGGGCTTCCTGATGAGCATGTCTTCGGACCACTCCCTTCTAAAGAGCTCCCCGCTAGGCACCGTCAGTATATCACTCCCCCTCTCCAAATGGGACACCAGAGTCAGCCTCATGTTGGTTTTCAAGAACAACAGCCCCACCCAACAGACGTCCCTCGCAGACAGTCCCGTCAATCCTCGCACCGGCCTCCCAATGCCATCCCTCGCCTATATATATGCCGACCTACCCCGGCGGTCCACCGGACGGCGACGACAATGACGGACCGGACTTCGGTTCCAACCGTCCCCGGCACGGCTCGGACTATAGAAACTTCGGTGGTAACGGTCGGCGCCTAGACCACAACACGGTATCATATGCTGGAGGGCTAGTCAATACTTGGGACAACTTGCCTGTAGCCCGCTCGGCAGCTCCGTACCGCATCAGGCGTGAGAAAACTGGCCAGTTCAACCCCGACGAGGTTGACACCAGCGGCACCGGCATGATCACAGACGGCAAGAACATCACCTTCACGGACATTTATGCCTTTAAACTTCGCGTCAAATCTTTAATCGAGGAACCGGCAACCCATGACGAAGCGGCAGCCCAAATTGCGTCATTCTTCCAGACGCTTCTGGGAGGATCTGCCCCGTTGTGGTGGACCTCCGAGCTTACCGTCGAAGACAGGTTTGGGCTCCGTAAGGGAGGATTGGGCCTCATGATGAAGGCCCTTATTAAGCAATACGGTCCCGACATCGCGCACTCGACTGCCGAGTACAACAAAGGCAAGTTGAGAGTTGAGGACGTTGATGAGGATCCCAACGCAGTTACGCGTTGGATTCAGCACAAAGTCCGGTATGCGAAGTCTGCTGGGATCCTCAACCCAGATAATAGCAACTGGCTCGGTGTCCTTACCCAGGTTTGGGCGCGATTCGACCTCGCCATCAAGCGTGTCATTCCGCCTCCCGATGAAGCTGATTCCCTCGCCGACTCAGCACTGCCAACAACTCAAATAAAGTCAACTCAAATAACTCAAATCAACTCAAATAGCCAACTCAAATAAGCCATTTTTGAACCCAACTCAATTCAAATCGACCGGTTATTTGAGTTGGGTTTAGCTCGGATATTTCCATCGCTTGGGCCCTTTTTGGGCCCAGTTTCCCTGCATTCCTGGGCTCAGGGCAGCATTTGGCCATGGCCAACCTGGTAAGATCTGGGGCTTCCTGGCCCAGGGAAAAATTCGACTGGGCTGACCTGGTTTTCTGCAATGCCATCGACCTGCGTTGCAGCGCTGTAACTATCGCCAAGTCAACAAGCTTCCTTTCCTGCCTTCCTGCTGCGAATTCGCTGCTTCCTCGCTTCCAATATGCGAGCCTCGACTATTAATACCGCGGCCCTCTAGTCGAACAGCCCGCACGCAGAAAAACGACCGCTTGACGTTTAAGACCGTACTTCCCGAATTGCCCAGCAGTACCCTCGCCTGGCAGCGATCGACCCAGCGGACTTGGCCCACAAGGAAGTGAAGGACTGGCCCACAATAAAAACACCAGATGGTTCCTTTATACCAGAGTTTTGGGTAGGAAAAAGAATAGCAAGATCGTCGCAAATTGGCGGGCATGGTGACTGGCTGGCCAAGGTCGTCAACAACGCAGTAGAAGAGGGCTTATACTGGTGGGCGTGCCACTATTGCAATAAGACCTTTAAAGCAGCAGCGACTTCGTCAGCGACTATGCACCTCAAAAGTCCGCATCGTGAAAGGTTGAAGGCTGAAGGGGTGGTGTTGAGCGAGGAAATAAGAGGCAGCGGCTACTACAGTTAGTCCAACAACAACTGAGGGCAGTATTACTGCCTCACAAGCTCACCCTACGAGAGAGGCTAATTATTAGCGATGATCCTTCGCTTGAACCTGCCATTCAATATCGTTCAACAACAAGAATTTCGCGATTTCTGTACTAACTTGAACCTTGATGGGGCAGCTGAGGCGCTTCCTAGCTCACACACGACGATTCGGACGTATTTTGGCGATCGGTTTGATGCCCAGAAGGAAGTCCTACGCCACTGGTTATCAGCATCGCCATACAAGAAGCACCTTTCCTTCGATATTTGGACCTCACCATCGACTATTTCCTATATGGCGATCTTTGTGCACTACGCTGATCGCGACGGCGCCCTCCACCACGATTTGTTAGCGATACCGCACATTCACGGCTCACACAGTGGCCAGAATCAGGCTCTTTACCTCACAAAGGTAGCGAAGGAATACGGTATCGAGGACTCGCTTGGTTATTTCCAGTGCGATAACGTGGATTCGAACTCTTTGGCGGTTAAATTCACACTTCGCGCCCTGCAAATTGGCCTTAGCGATCAGGAACTCGAAGAATTGGCCCTACAGCGTCGGCTACGCTGTTTTGGCCACGTTCTGAACCTCGCCGCACAAGCCTTCATTCTAGGGAAGTCAACCCACCTTGATCGAGCCTTTGACGATGACTTCAACGGTCAGTTATCGCTTGAAGAAGAAGAGGCCTTACTAGCAGGTTGGCGGAAGCAAGGGTCAGTTGGTAAGCTGCATAACGTGGTGCACTTCATTCGCAGGTCGCCACAACGCCGCGAGACTTTCCTTCAAATCGCGCGCGGCCAGTTGAGTGAAGAAGAGGCTCGCGAATTCGGCTCTGTAGTTTTTGATAGGAATATCGAGGGCTTACAGCTTTGTGGCGATAATTCGACGCGTTGGAACTCGGTGTTCTATATGATCCAGCGCGCAGTGCGATTGCGCGCCCAGGTCGATTTTTAGTGCCATCGCTACCAGGGCGAAAAAGACCCCAAAAAACGCCCCCCCACTGCTGACCTGTTGGAACCCTCTGACTGGCATCAAATTACGCTTGTTTTGACTATTCTTGAGCTCTTTAGAAGGATCAAGAAGTGGTTTGAAGGCAGATCAGCGAGTTTTCCTGAAGTTATCGCTACAACAGAGTGGCTGACTGATCACCTTGCTCACCAGTGGCGAATTCTGCACCAAAATTCCGAGGCGCCAACAGAGTTCACGGGTGGGCCTGTGTACGCCCAGCCAGAGATCACAGTCGCTAGCCAACAGGCTCAATCAATCGCCCTTGACGACGACGACGATGCCGACGACGATGCCGAGCCTTTCTTCTCTGCCGCAGCGAATTCGCAGCGACCTCGGCGCAAACGGCGGCTTCCTAGCTGGCTAGCCGACTCGGTCATCGACCTGCCGCGGCGCCTGCCGACCGGCCAGGTTATCCTTCCAGTCTTTGAGTTGGCCGACGACCTACCTGCCCTGCCCTCCTCCCCTGATCCTGACGACGATCACGTTTCCTTTGTACGAACCAGCCTTCAACTGGCCATTCAGAAGCTTCAAGAATACATGGGTTGATGGAAGAAAGTCCTGCCTACTAGGTCGCTATGCTCTTGCACCCTGGGCACAAGAAGAGGTGGATGGATAAATGCCTAAGCCCTGACAGGGCTAGGAAGGCATTCGCTGCCTGCCGTGATCTTTACCAAGCCGAATACGCCGACCTTCCTGTGCCTACAGCGCCGCAGCCACCAGCCCTGTCAGGCCCAGGCAGTCATCTTCGCTCTTACGACTACTACGACCCGCCTGAGGACCTGGGCCAGAAAGACGAGCTGGCTGAGTACTTTGCAGAACCTGTTTGGCCAGTGGATGACATACAAACCTGGTGGTTGGCTCACAAGGAACGCTGGCCTCGATTGTCAAGGATGGCTTTGGACCTGTTGTCGTACCAGCGATGTCATCTGAGTGTAAGAGGGCCTTCAGCCAAGCCAAGCTGGTTATTGGCACGAAACGACATTCCTTGGTCGACGATACCATCAATATCCCCATGTGCCTGAAGAGCTGGGGCTTGTTTTAAGGGCGTTGGCTAGATTCAGCGCTCTTTTCTGGTCTAGGGAGTCAATTCGGGGCTAAATTTGGCTAGATTTTCGTGTTTTTTTGGTGTGTGGCAAGTTCCGTCAAATAAGGCCAAATAAAGCCAACTCAACTCAAATAGGGCCTCAAACCAACTCAAATACAGTATTTTGAGCTCAATTCAACTCAAATATAGCTTCATATTTGAGTTATTTGAGTTGGTGGCAGCGCTGATCGAGTCTGGTCTGTTACTTCTGGCGGTCAACGTTGCTCTGGACTTTGCAATGAGTGGCCTTGTTGCGCGACCAAGAGGCGCGGGGCTTGATGAGACGGGACCATGGATGTTAGCCACTCGCTCGCTGTATGGGGAATGTCCTATAAGCATTACGAGAGTCTCCAGAGTCCAGGCTTGCTATTTAAGCTCGGCTTCCTCTCGTCCCATGTCCATCCATCACCTCAATATCCAGAGCATCTCAATATCATCTCATCTCAACATCCAGAGTAAAGCTGCGGAATACCGAGCGCAGCGAGCAGCCCGCTGCAGGCGCCCCCAGAGGGCCGCCAGAGGCACCGTTCAGCGACCGCTTCCTGACTTGCCAGATAGCTTATTTTAATTAATTATAGAAAACAACGCTCCCCCAACCATTTCTACACCCCCTTCACAGGAACCTCATTTCGGCGTCACAAATAATCATACTTGAACGCCTCCCGGATCCGAGTCTCCAGATGCTGCCGCATGGTCATGGCTTTGTGTTCCACGGGCACCAGCCACGGACGCAGCAGCCGATACTGCCCGGTGTCGTACGACAGCCTCCTCAGCACGGCCGCGATTCCGCGGCGCGAGTACAGCCACTCCTGCTCGGCCTTGCTGACGTCACTGAGCGAGTGGCGCGCAAACTCAAGGAGGTCCGCTGCCAGTCCCGCGGCGATGGGCGTCGCAAACGACGTGCCCGACTTGTACTCGTACTGCAACGACGACGACGTGGCCCCAGAGGGTGGGTACCGAACATAGGCACCCAGCGTGATAAAGTTGTCCTCGCCGGCGACGGGATCGGGGCTTAGCAGGTTAGCCTTCTGCCCGTGCCCATCAGAGGCGTTCACGCAAATGACGCCGGACATGCGGGCCGGGAACGCCCGCCTCTCGAGGGGCCCGCCGTTGCAGGCGGCGGCGAAAACGATTCTCGCCCGCGTGTTGGGTTGGCGGTGGCGCGCTGAGGTAGGCGTTTCGGCGTCGGTGCCAGTGTCAGTGCCAGCGCTAGTCTCACCCCCTATCGAAGAAGTAGGTTTCTTCTCGGGGTCCTGCGGCCGGAGCGCGCGTAGAATGGCCTGCTCAATCTCATCGTCATCCACGTCTATGCCAAAGGAGAGTGAGATGATGTCTACGTCCCATTCCGTGATGGCGTGGTCGATTGCCTAAAGAAGCGGGTGGATTGGTGGTTTTAGCAACGACGGTGTGACCCAGAGATAGGTAAGGTACAATTAAAATTGGGTAACGGGGGGATTACGTACTTGCACGATGCCGTGGTACCCTTCCTTGGGGATGTCCTTCCCCTCGCAGACCTTGCCGATGTACAGGTGAGCTCTCGGCGCCACTTCTAGGAAGAATCTTGCGACAAGGGTGCCATGGCCATTGGTGTCACGCCAATCGGTTTCCTTCCCGACCCAAGAGCGCGTCTCAAATATCCGCCTGTCCCCTCCGCGAAGCTTGAGGCAGCGCATGATGTACGATTCCCGTTCGTTAATGCCCGAATCGAGGATTGCAACTCGGACAGGCCGTTGCCATGGAGAAAGATCTAGGGCTAGGGTTCGGGCAGGGCTGGGCAATGCTGTGATAACCGTCTCCTTGAAGCGTTTGATGTGGTTGAAGTACTCGGTCCCCGTTCGTATGTCCCTGTTGCATTATGTCACATCGTCAGGCTGAGAATGCTTCTAAGTTCTAAGAGGCAAGATCCAGAGGGGTAGGTGACTTACTCGTCGCTTGGTTTCATGTCTTTATCGTCAAAGAGCGTGGCGACTCCTGACTCGCCATCAGCGGCTTCCGTTATTTCATTCTGGGTTTTTTGGGCTGTCTCGGCTACTTGAGGCGGTATGAGGGGGTCGAGCTCTGCGTTGCCCCCCGAGGACTGCTCGTAGAGGAGGCGCAAGGGCTCGACAACATGTTCCCACAGCTGCGTCCGCTGATCCTCGACATTTTTACCCACGAACACGTCTGGTTCCAAGCATGTGCCTATAATTTTCTTCCTTTCCTCGTCTAGCGGCCCTGTCCCAGGCTGCCGGTAGGCCCTTTCAAACAAGCCTTTTGCCGCGTGATAGTCGGCGTCGGCTGTTGGCTGTCCATCTACCGTGATATCGACCTTGCTCCAAGAGTCCTGGATGTCGACTTTCAGGTCAATCTCGAGGAGTAAGATGCCCAAGGCCAGTATTTTGGGGAACCCGTGACATCGAAACCCGTCGTTGCCGCTATGGGCAGGCACTACATTGAGGTCGGCGTGGAGAAAGGGCTTGTCGACGCAGATTGCTGGGTCTGTTTGCCTCCTTCTGTCGCTCTCGTACATGAAATGGACCGACTCCTTTGTCCATTCCCGCTCCATCCAGGGCGACGGGTAGAATCTCCACACGGCCTCAGCGAGGTGGTAGCTGAGCAGCAGACGGTGCTTGAGCGTAAAGTCCTCGGTCTGCAGAAACCGTTTCAGAGGGACGCTGTCCGAACTTGCTGGGCTTGTTCCGGATTTTGTTGACACGGATTGTTCCCTTGGAGACCTCGAAAGAGAATTGTTTCATCTGCCGATTTTCAATGAGGGCACAGAAATCCTAAAGAAAAAGCCATCAGTATCTAATTGAGTATTGTTCCTAGCCATAATTACCTAGGTGGTCATTTTACTGAAGACAATGCAGCATACCTTGACATTCCATCCCATGTCTTTGGTGCCGTCTGCGGGATGGATGTCCCCCTTGGAGATGACATACGGAAATGCATCCTGATGATGCGACTTTGTGGTATCCTAAAATCTTTGGGTGTCCTGGCATGTTAACCTCCTCTTATAACCGGAATGATACTCGGATGAGATGTGGGATGGTGGTTGTGTTTTGACTTACGTGATCACCTTTGTGGACGTGGGGATTGTGATCTCGGTATCCTGCCATTGGCATCTATCTTTCTTGGACGGTTTGTGGGGGTAGTCTAAGAAGAGAATTCGGAACACTGCTTGCGAGTTATGCGATTCGTCGCAGCGTTTGAGGTGTATGTTGGCTACAATGGACTTCGCTCGTTTTGCTTTTGCCTCTGCTGCAGTTAACCCTCAGGTCAGATAACCCCATTCCACAACGGGTGTCTGTACTTACCAGGATCTTCCAGTTTGTTGCAAATGAAATCCTCAATCATTAACTGGTATAATCTCTGGAGCTCCGAAGTACCATGGCCGGTGTAAGGCGCCACGTTGTTGCTAACTTTGTCGTCTTCATCGTCCCCGGCACGAATTGTAGCCGCAACTCGAAGATATTGCAGAGGACTATTCCGATCACTGACAAACTTTACAAGAACGGAGACAAGACCCATCTTGGTCTTCTTGCCTATCTTGTCAAAGTGCTTCAGGCCGCTTAGATACTGCCGTCGTGGAGCCTGTCGTGTTGAGTGAGGGTTTGAAGACGGGCGCAGTTCTCCGGATTGAAGTTCTTCAGGTCGACACTTTTGACTCCAAGGCGTTCAGCGGCCATGGGGCCGACACGACCGACCACAAATCCTCGGATATAGTAGTTTGGTATAGTCAAAGAATTGTCGCAACCGGGAAGCCCGGGTGAGTTCATGCCAACCCCGCGCTGGCGGCGCCCTTCAGCCATTGCTATCAACAACCCTGTCATTCTTAGGGCTCTCGAGAAAATTTCGGGAATCGAGCTGCCAGAGTCGCCTTGCATGTACGTTCTCGTCCCAATGCACACATTCCTGCCACAGCCCGTCTCGCAGATAATCATTCGAGCTCAAGCTGACCAGGGACCCACAGCATGCTTTGGCCATTCAAGGTGAGCTTCAATGAAGCCGACTCGTCGTTAACAAGCAGGTAAGGCCGGGGTACTAAGTAGTTGGTCAGCTTATCGTTGGGTTCAGATTTGAAATCGAAGGGGAGGCAGAACGCCTGAGGAACAGAAGGGACGAATCTCCACCTGTCGATCTCCCAGCCACTGGCTCCCAACCTCAGCCGAGCAAAGACATGTCAGAGCTTAACACGGTCGGAGTTGGGCAGGCGGTAGAGCGTGGGTACCTCTTTCCACTAACCCACCCCGAAACTAAATTCGTCTAATGGACATGATTCACGTGCTAATACTTTCTTCATCCCGTGTAGTCCTAGTAACGCTGATGAACTCTCACCTGAAAGAGATTTTCACTCTGGAGAAAGCTCTTAAAACCTGTGCTGTAGACACCATATTTTTCGATGCCCTCTGGCTCCTCCTCAAGCCCGGAAATATCGTTTTTCTTGGGCCTGACCAGCCTACGCAATCCTATTTCGACTCTAGACAGGCATCCCGGGTATTGTATGTCGAACAGCTTCCCTCGATATCATTGGAGGAGGACTTGGATGACAGTGGCCGCATTTTTCGTGTCCACTGCATGTACCTGGGATTCGACGAGAACTCTTTTCAAACAATGAAGACTGAAATCGAGATCAGGCCATACCGGGGCCAGAGAAAAATCAATCAGCTTCCCGTCTTCCCATCCGTTTATGCTAGCCTACCTGTCTCCCTTTCGGAGCTTGTGGTGCGCGGTGAAGCGTTCCTCAACTTTTTCTACGGCCCCGGTACATGTGTGGGTAGCACAGGCTTGGGCGGTCGCCAAACCTTCTTTATCGACTTTGAAGCGGCGGTACAAGATGATCCTAGCCTGTTGGAAGTACTGGAGTGTGGATTGAGATCCACGCAATACTCGGGACATATTTTCACAAAGGTTCCCGACTTCAAATTCTGGGCGGCTGAGAGCGACAGTTACACGGCCCTTCTTCTCGACGACAGACTAGTGGATGGGAGACTAGGTGATATCTACGGTCGATGCAAAGCGGTTTCGTTCCGCAGTGGCTCGTCACCTCCCGATTTGGATATTGCGCTCCGAATAGTTTCACCGCCGCGACTGCTAGCATTTTCGTTTCAAACCAAGAAATGGGGTAAGTGTACCGCTCCATATTGAATATCGATAATTACCGCCTAGGAGAACTTTGCAGTCCTGTACTTCTGTTAACAATAAAACTCATAGAGGTCTTGAACACTTTTCGATTCATGCTGGGGACGAGAAAAAATAAGAGCAGCAAATTAGACGCAGCCTCCGACCAGCCCATCTTGCCGCCTGACTACAAGCGAATCCTCCTGGCGGCTGTCAATGGCCGTCATGGCATCGTGCAAAGCCGGAGTCCGATAGCAAGTTTTGAGGCGGGGGTTTCCGATTCTAATCCAGGGCTAGTCATCCTCCTTCACGGTCCGCCAGGTTGTGACATGGTTTGTCGTCCCTTCCTCAACATATTTTCTCTCTCCAGTCAGTGTTAATTGTGCTAACTGGGACGGGGATTGCTGCTTAGGCCACAATAGTGAAAGGCGCGGCAGAGAACGCTAGTCCACGTCGCCTTTTATACCGAATTGTGAGCAGCTTTCGAGTCACTCCCTTCGAAGAATACAAGAATTACCTTGTCTAATTAATTAACGTGAAAAGACGTGCGCAGATCTCTCCTCACACCCAGAAACATTTCACAAGCAACTCCGCCGGCATCTAGCTCTAGCCAGTAGGTGGAATTGCATTGTCCTACTGAAAGATGCCGAAGTCTATCTATCTGAGAGGGACGAAAATATGGACCGCAACCGAATATTGTCAAGTAATCCACCCACCTTATTATCTCTGCGGCTTTCCAATGTGCAGAGCAGAGCTCCCAAGTTGATTAGGCTACCTGCTGACAACCAGTGTGCCGAGCAACAGTATTCCTAGACGCTCTTGACAGCTTGAGCGGAACGCTCTTTCTGACCTCGACCCGTGTGGGCTTGATCGATGAGTCTTTGAGACATCGCATCCACATCGCTCTTTCGATCCCGGAGCCGGACCGGGCAGCGGCAAGTCACATGTGGAGCGCGGCGCTACACAGCGTGAAGACGCTGAACTCATGGGAAGTAGACTACAGAGGCATCCTGTCCTGGGCCGAGGCTCGATACAAGAAGCGATCCGTCTCTGAGAAGACGTGGTCGAGTCGGCAGGTCAGCAACGCGATCGAAACCGCCATGGCTGTCGCGTCGTTCGATCACGAGAGCAGAACAAGCCGGTCCGCAGTTGCGGACGCTACAAAGGAAAAGGCAACATCTGGAGCCGACAAACCACCACGGCTGCAGAGGCGTGTCGTTCTATCTGCGAGTCACTTTAGCGTCGGCGAGGGTCTCGCCCAGGGCTTCAGCAGCTACCGTAAGTTTGCCTGCCTGCCAGTGCATGTCCCTTTTGGCACCTTAATCACCTTACCTAGGTACGTACCAACTAACAGAATAAAAACGCACAGTTGACGAGTGCCGAGGAAACGACGAGGAACGCGCAGCCGAGCTCCATCTCCGGGCGCCAGGTGGCAGACCTGAATCTGTTTCTCAAAAGTACAGCGACAGGTCACCGTCGCCGACGACGCATGGGAGGACGAAAACGGGGTATCGGGAGAGGCGTCCCACGAGATCCCGTATGTACGATGACGGCTCTGATGAGGAGGAGTACGACGACGGCGAAGATTCTGAGGAGTCTTCCGACTATGTCTCCCCTCCCCCAGTTGCTCCTCGTCGCCGCCACTCACCGCCGCAGGTGCGGGGTATTCTTAAACGACAGAATATTGCTGAGTACATAGGACAGACACCGGAGTGGCCGCCGCAGCAAAGATTGACATCGAAGGAAATATCCGAGCTGATGCAAGGACAGGAGTCGCAGCAGGTGGAGAAGCATCTGAGGGTCAAGTTACCTAGTTCTGACGAGTCCGATGGAGATGGGCAGTTGGACGACGACGTCTTGACAGACCCCGAAGAAAAAGGAGACCCCTTGAGCGATAACCACGAGTCCCCTGTGACCGGAGAAGATAAGACTGAGCCGGACGAGACTGAACCTAGTCAAGAGGTGGTTAAATATGTCAGTTACGTATAGGATTAGGTGAAGAGGGTTGTTAAGATGAGTTGGAGTTTTTAATACTAGGAATTTCGCGCTCTGAGCAGCATCTTCATGGCTTTTTCACTTGAGTGCCATATCTTTCACTATCTCCGAATTTGTTTTCGGCAAAACCTGATTAAGGTCGGTCACTTCGTTGTCTTCTGCCGCCGGTGATGGGGGCAGTGGTGGAGGTGGTGGTGGTGGCGTGGTTGGCCTGGCATCATTATTTTGCCAACCACTGGACGAACTAGATGAGCTGCATGGCATTTCGACTAGGAAATATCGTTCTGCTTGTCGTAAAAGTTAACATACTTAAACAACCTGCAGTGGTATCTGGAAATTAGAACATGCTAATAAACGTACTTCAAAGTAAGCCCCTCGGACGCCTAGGATACCACAGCGTCGAAGGGATTCTGGTACGGCAAGTTCGCGGGGGCAGGAGAAAGGTTGAATCCTGTCACGGCGCGCAATGGCCGTAGCAGTACTATATAGCTTACTACAGGTTGCAAGTTGTCAACTTGCAATTCTGGCATCCTTTTGGGGGTTCTAGCGCAGTGGTAGTGAGTGCTGCAGGCTGGCGCCGTCACAAATCCGGCTTTAACACAATCTGGGGCTGTGGGGCTGTACGAGCTGCGAGGCAACTCGAAAGAATTGAGGTAGAAAGATTCTTAAAAGCAAGCAACATATCATCTCAGTTTCCATAAAGCGCAAATGGTAGAGAGCCTGGAAAGCCGTACGTTTGTTATGGTGTCTGAACTCGAGCGTAGTGGTTATGTATTATTTTGGTTCAGCGCTGATGGACTAGATCTGTTAGCGAGGCAAGATTGTGAGACGTAATGTGTGCTTTAGGCGGCAAAGAGACAATAAGAGGTCTGTGAAGCCGGTGAGAACAGACTGGCGTCGTGTTTAACCAGTCCAGAGAGCACTTCAATGGCAAGTCGACTTGCATTGTCTGGGCACGGGAGTGATGACCAGACCAATTGCTAGAGTGTGTGTTGAATGGATGTCAGGGATTTTGGATGAGCTATTAGACCTTGTGTGAGGGTCAAATTTCCCCATGCAACTTTCGGCATGTTTAAGTACCCAGGCCCGCCGGAATTTGTTGTGACCTCAAGCTCGTGGTTATACGCATATGATTAGAGAACCAGGAGGAACAGACAGCGTGAAAGATACTAGTCATACGACGACCAAATCCTTAACTCGAATACTCAGGACGCAACCCCTATCTTCTAAAGAATTATGCCACCTGACAAATCTACATACTAGGTTTGCAATAAGGAAGTTAATCCTAACCCTATTCCTTGCTAAGAGCTGCGCTTAATAGCCCAAATAGTGTTGGCATCAAAATAGACGAGTAGTTGAGTTCTGTGGAAAATGCGAATACTTGAACTGCAAGGAGTGCGTTCCGGTTGATGGGAAAGGCAAGCTTCTAGGCCGAGGAATAGACAAGTACCGGAATTATTACCCTGCTGCGGGCGCTTGAGTAAATACTTAGAAGGTACCTGGCGGTCCGAAATGTAAGATGATGGATTCGTGTTCGAATGGACTGGTATGGTGGAGAATAGTGTACTTGACTTGGGCTGGCGAATCGTGGGCTTGCCTTGGTGTAGAAAATCGCGCCCCTACCAACTTGCCCTTAATTGTAGCGAATCATATACTCGGCGCGTCCGTTTGTGTAGAGAATCGTGCACCTGCCAACTCGTCCTGTGGTAAATCATGCACTCGGCGCGCCTTTGTTGCAGAGAATCATGTACCTACCAACTGGCTCTTTGGTGTAGAGAAATATGCACTCGACGCGCCTTTAATGGATTTATTGTGGTTCAAAGTGTTAGCAATAATTACGTGAGCCTCAACTAATTAATAAAGTATCCCGTATTTGGCGGACGATCTTTACTAAGACTACAGCGGCTTTCACTTCGCAGCTAGCCTGTAATGATTGGATATCTGGAATGGCGCCAGAAGCATCGTTTTGACAACGCAACACAGGCTTCCTTTACGCACGGAAACCCCCGGAAATGCAACCTAGCCCCTGACGGAAGGGTATGTTGCCATGACGTGGGAGAACCCTCCGGGATTGACTAACGGCAGCAATTTGGGGGTGTCACGAGCCTTGGCAGGGCAAACCATAATGGCCCGTACGCTCTCGGTACCCCACTATACCCCCGCACCCTCGATCGTACCTTTGTAGACTTTCCTTCTTTCTTTCTTTACTTTAGAATCCTAAGACAATGGTATAGCCATACTAGTGACTCTTCTTCCTAGATGCTGTTGACCGCCGTCACAGGGGGCCCCTGAAGTAGACGATATTAGGTGAATCAGATAGCCGAAGATGCTACTCTTTTCTATCTTAACATTCTAGGCAGGGGTGTCATTTCCTAGATCATTCATAAACGTAAGTCAGTAATGGGAACGTAATAAAAGCGAGATCGTATCAAGAACGGACTGCAGAAACAGGTGCATCTCTTTGCCAATATTAATAGGAGTGGAGTATTCTGATCCAATTCCGGGTTGGTTCGCGGTGGTTGCTCCACGTTGGAAATATGGCTGAAGTAGCAATCATATTGATTGGCGATGCATGTCTGCAGGAGTCTTTGGCTAGATTGGGATTTTGATGGAAATATCACCGCACAGTCAACTGCATGAGACAAGGCTGCAATATGGTCGCTGTATTCGTAGAATCTAAAGCTAAGGAAAGAAAGAAGAAAGGAAGTTTCTAAAGCTTGGGCAGGGCGCAGGGAAATAGGACGTGGGGTGCACGGGCCATCTAGTCTAGTGGGGTCCGGGTCGGGCCCACTATTCCAGAGTTGTCTGCACTTGCCGTGACAGGAAACATCCTACGTAGACAAGGCTTGTACATTGTGGTAAGTATACCAGCTTGCTTGGACTGCATGACCAACTGCAACAGGACCAGTAGGGAAGCTATATCCGCCTGGGCAGGCTTTTGTGAGAAGCACCTGGCTCTAACCGCTTTTCTCCGGATAGTCTTCGTTCAACGATTTAAGACGGACGGTCCCAAGACTACTACGGAACGAAGATTAACTCGCCACAAAAAGTAGGCATCGCAGTCCTATCTCAGAACTGAACTACAATCACCCTAGACACGCACCAAAGACGGCTTCAGACTCTGGCGCTCAGCTACCCGGATACGTTCGTTCCTCGGGCACTGGTTCAAGACAAGACTGGCTATCTATTACAAACCACTCGACTGTTAGGGTCGTCTGTCTGTAAGGGAGCACGGGCTCCACAGAATGCTGGGGTTGGTAATTATGAAGATAGAACAAAGGGCAAGCTCCTATCGCACGGGTAATACAGTCAAATCGGAATGCCACTCAAAATGTATGAGTGCAGCGAATGTGTATTGCTTGCTTGAAGAACCAAGCAAGAACTATCTAAGACCGTGGACACGGTCATCGTATTTATTTAATTATGGCGGGCCAGTAAGAGCTGCGCTCTTACTTGCCCGGCAGGAAGGAGCTGCCTGGTATTACAAACCACTCGACTGTTAGGGTCGTCTGTCTGTAAGGGAGCACGGGCTCCACAGGATGCTGGGGTTGGTAATTATAAAGATAGAACAAAGGGCAAGCTCCTATCGCACGGGTAATACAGTCAAATCGGAATGCCACTCAAAGTGTATGAGTGCAGTGAATGTGTATTGCTTGCTTGAAGAACCAAGCAAGAACTATCTAGGACCGTGGCTACGGTCGTCGTATATATCTATCTAAGGCGGACCAATCAGAGCGTTGGTCCTAGGTGATCAGTGCGGTCAGTGTGCTCAGTGCGATCAGTTCCCACTGATCGCCCTGATCATACTGATCGCGCTGACCGCCACGCTATTGGCTGCACTCCCGTGAAGCGGGGAACTACCCCGCTTCCTTGCGCCAGCCAATAGCAGGAGGCTCCGTGCAGCCTCCTGCGAGCCTGAACCAGGATCGTAACACGATGCCCCTCCTCCCTAGGCTTCGTCCCGAAGCCAACGACAGCTGGCGACCGAAAACCTTAGAGAGTGAGTCCCTTCCTCCTTACAACGCCCTAACGGCGTATGGCTAACCATGAGTTTCCTTCCTAAGAAAACGATTGCGAAAAGCACCTTACGTCGACACAGACGCGCTAACAACTACTCCTTATCCGA